CTATATGGATATGTATAGTTATATGCTTGTACTGTCATGACACTTGTGAATTCAATTAAAGTTATGTTTCTCTTTATTCTATTGTTATCCACATTAAGTTATATACATGTATTATTGATTGTGGTAACATGTTATATCTCTTTTAGAGACATGAAAGTTAAAAGATTGATTAAAGTTATGTTGAGTTGATTTGATTATGTGATACATGAAAGGAATCTTGTCGTTCATGACTTTTGCCCGCCATGATCCGATCATTTCAATTCATATAAGGATGATGACTTGATAATTCTAATGAATGGTGCGCACTTAAAGTTTAGTTTTAGATCTTCAAGTCATCACATGAACCAAGTGGGAGAATGTTAAATTATATTAATATTTAAGATTGGTTCATGTAATTTAAAGTATAACTTTGATGTATAGATTCTAATGTGATGATTATTAGAATATAATGTATTAAAGTTATGGGGATTATTTTAGAGTTATTAAAATTAATCCCTCTCTTCTCACTTCAAAAAGGGCATTTTGGTATTTTATTAAATTGATTAAATATCATAAAAGAGGGAAAAAGTTTGACTACAGTTGACAGGTTAAGTTTGTGAAAAGAGAGAAAGAAAGGTTATGTTCTCTGAAAAGAAAGAAACCGTGACATCCCTCAGAATTTCTATATCATCAAGAAAGCATTAAAGAGGAGTAAGAGAAGGGAGAACATTGACAGGAAGAAATTATACAATGGATCCAGGTAAGTTCTTTTCCATTGTGTATGAGAGAATAGTGAGTATCATGAAAATTCAAGATCCTGTGTGTGTTTTTCATTCAATTGAAAATTAAAGAATTGCTTACAGAATATAGTGAAAAACTATATATGGGATTAATCTCCCTTGTGTTAAATATACACATAGGGTCCTCTATTTATAATAGAAAAAATATGGACTAAAGTCAAAATACAAATAATAAATAACTAACTAAAGAAAAAAAATAAAGATAAAAGATAAATATAAAATGTTAGTAGTGAACTTTAAGCCTAACTCAACCCACAAAACCGGCTTTTAGGGTGAGGTTTGCACCTACTTATAAACTATGAATTGGTCTTATCTCTAGTCGATGTGGGACTTCCAACATAAAATAAAGATAATATATCTAAAAAATCTAAATAGATTAGTAATCATGTTTAAATGAAATTGAATGATGATTATTCTGATCAAAAGTCTACGAAAAATTTATAAATACAAATAAAAATTATAATTGTTGAGATTTTTACTATACATTTATTGTAACATTAATTTCTTAACCGATAAAATCCAAACTAATTTAAGCATCAAAGTATTTTTAATAAGTACACTTAATTGGTTAAATATACATTATCCGAACAAAAAGAAGATACCTAAGGAGTAAGCAACAAAAAAATTGTTTAAGTACACATTTGACTTTACATTTTGACGACCACCGCATCGAGCTAAAATTTATGAAATCTATATGGTAACCACTAGAAACATGGTAAGCAACTTAGCATCGAAAGAAACCATTAATGACCAGATGGATTCAATGACAATGATGAGAAAGAAATAAAAGAATCGAGAACGAGACCATTGACAAGAGAAGGATAATAAAGGTCCTATGTCATCCATCTCCACTCTTAAAGAACTAGTTAAACAACCTCGAGATGAGCCAAATCGAAAAGTCCATACTAGTAGTTTTGACGCGAGTAAAGACCACCATCGCTCCTTTGCAATTGTTAACACAACCCGTTTGCTGTGGTTTGTCACAAGGATCATGAAGATCTCTTCATGAACTTGATGACATTATACATTACAAGTGATATTGGTTGAATCTAATAATATTTTAGGAATCAATTTATACGTTTTCTTCAATTTTAAACTTTCAAAATATACTTTTCAAGATGTATGTAATTCAATTAGTTATTTTAATAAATTTTGCAAGTTTTCACATTCACATCTTCCACTATGGGTGTAACCTCTCTGATGTAAAATGGTAAAGGGTAAAGTTGCTATTCTAAACCTTTGGAACGGTGAAATAAATGGAGTGTAAAAAGCTGAAAAAAATAATAAATCCCGCCAAATCCAATCTAATGAAATTTAATTAGGTTGAGTTAAAATTATATTAAATTTGAGGCAGTTTCTTCACGTACTTTCATAAAAAAAATTCATTTTAACATTTTATAATTCAAAATGAAAATAAATTTTAATTAAAAAAACTTAAAAATAAAAAATGACTTCCAAAAATTGAAGAGGGTTAGAAAAAATAACTTCAAAATTGTACATTTGAAAAATAATTTTTAATTTTAGGATTACACAATAAAAAATTTATTTTTAACTTCTAAATTGTACAATAAAAATAAAATAAAATAAAACAAAACAAAACAAGAATTTTTTATGAGAAATATATAGGGTGCAGAAAGAAGCTATCTAAATTTGATAGTGAGACAACTTACACCCCTGTTTTGAAGGTTCTATTATCTTCAATCTCATGATTACTTTTCTTTTCAATAATTGAACGAAAATATATTAGAGTTTGATAATTTGGGAAAATTATTCTCACCACAGAAAATAAGTATTTGTCTTACACTTTCCTTATAATTTTAATTTCCCACTTATGAAAGCCAAACTCATTTAATTAGTCAAAGCAAACAGTTTTCTAAATAATAAATAAATAAATTTACATATAATTTAAAATTAAGGGACTAAAATTTCGGTGACCCAAAATTGTGGATTTTTTTTTAAATATAAGGGCTAACTTACAAATAAACCTTTTTTTTAACCAATGGTAAATTACTTTCTATAACTACTAAATTAAAAAAAGATTAAGATAAATAAAACTCTTATGTAGATATTCTTGAAGTAAGTTAATACCTCTTATATATTTATTATATGTAGTTTAATCCTTGCAAACAAAATAAAGTTTGTTTTTAATTTCTTGAAAAATATTTTTCTTTAGTTCCTTAGTTGTGAAAACGTCACATGTGATTTTATTTCTACAATCAAGAGGAGTTTTCTTCTGACAATGATCACACTCCACTCCACATATTTTTTAAATGAGAGAATATTTCTTTTAGAAACTAAACATATTTTCGCAAAATTGTGCACGTAAATAAATACTTTTAAAATTAAATTATTATCCGATTATCTGTCAGAGTTTCTTATTACTGATTTTTTCTTTTAACGACATAACTATAGCCTTCACATTTTTAACTGATTTGTATGATAAAATCTATGCAAAGCAAACTACATTCATCACAATTTTGAAATATGTATTTTAGTGGCTACACATTATTCAGAAGTCAAAGGTAAATAACTGGATAAATTCATTTCTTTTTTAATTTTGTTAATATTTTTAAAGAAAAAATCGTGATAGAAGTGAAACAAGATATTTTCTCACGAAATTTGGGATGAAAAATAATAAAATATCTGTGTGGAATCATGTCACCTTTTAAGTTTTTATTTTCTGAAATATTAAGAGCTGAACATTGCAAATTTACCAGAACTAAGTTGACAAAGAAGAGAAGAAAATTCAAGGCTCTTTAACAACAATGGCTGAGGTTGCCAGGGAATAATACACTGAATAGACATCGACATCAATCACATGTTATCTAAATTTGAAGTTCAAAGTTCTATGTTTCCATTTCTGTTAGCTGTTTATCTGCTGATTTAGTTATTTAAGAATAAGGAATAACGTAGTTCATGATCAACATAAAAACTAAGAATTATTCCTTTACATAATCTGTTCTGGTAAACTTTCATCATCGGATGAAGATTCACTCGAAGAATCACTGTCAAATGAAATGGTCTCTTCTTGTGGAGATGATGGTAATGCTTCTTCTACTATTTGTTGTAAGGGAGAACCTGTAAAAGAGTGACTTTCAGACCTTCAACTACTAAGTAAAAAAGAAAAGAATTGATCAATTGCAATCTATAACAAGCAAGATAAAACAATGAAATGCAAGTGACTCAAGAACAAACCCTTTTGTCCTTTAGCCTGCAACTTCATGGTGTGCTTCTTAATAAGCTTTTTGGCTTGTGTGATCGTGAGCTGCCTAGCAAAAGGAGAGATCTCTGTATCATTTTCATTCAGATCCCCTTGAATTTCATTCTCTCCTTCATTTTTCTTTGTCTTTTGCACAAATGCCTTTGCCTTGCGTTTTTGATGGCTAAATATTCCTTTAATGGATGTTACAAATCCATCACCTGCTCCATCAGTAGGACGCTTAGGAAAAGATGGTGGAAGCTTATCAGATTTTCCTTCACTGTCAATAGAAGCAACATCCACTTCTGGACCACTGGAACTAGGGAGCTGAACCTGACCTTTGTCTTTAAATTTCTTAATCTGCATGATCCATAACAAGACATTTAAATGAATTAAGCAGAATCAGTTGAACATTCTCACCAACTTCAGTGTAAAGGGTATGGAAAAAGCCACATATTGCTCCTTGATACTGAAATTGCGCACGGCATTGCAACATATAGGCTAAACTGAATAAATCTGAGGTAAATTGTTGTGAAATTGAAGTTTGGTAGTGATAAATTGTATCAGATTTAGTATCAAACAGAATTAATAGTTCAGTTTGTCCTAAGAAATTGTTTGTTCTTGTGAATAACTAGTCATTTATTGTGATCTTCATGCCTATAAATTAAAAACTTACCAAGTGGTATACTCACTCATGCCCATTAGGAAAATTTCCATGATTCTCTATTTCTCACAAGGAACTTCTGATTTAGAGGGTTCAGCTTCAGCAACAAAAGCACTCTTGAAGAAGGTCTTACTGAGCACTCAAGCTCTCAGAAACCTTTTAACTTAGAATTGAAATTTAGGCTTAACTCAATGCCAAGAGCTAGATAATTCGGGTTGGAATATCTCACTGTCACCAGACTATATATATTCTTTGCAGGTAGTGTAGTTAGTCAGTTTCTAAGTCTCCTCTACTAAGTAAGACACCATTCATACTCGAGTCATCGGATATTTAACAATAGATTGGGCAAGTTTCTTTAAGTTAGAAGATTCACCTCCATATACTGAATTCATTTTGGAAAGTAACTGAATTTCTTGAGAAAGTAAGGTTTGTACAGATCCAATGCAGAAATAAAGTATAAAGCCATGGCTTCAGTCCCTTGTGCACTTATTTGGCTCAAACAATTGACATTAGTTTGTGATAGTTAGGATGCTTTGCATATTTCTTCTTATCTTCTATTCCATGAGAGGACTAAGCATATTTAGGAAGATTTCCACTTTATCAAAGAGAAGATTTATTTGGTGATATCACAGATTTTCTCATCTTCAATGATTAATTTAAAGATATCTTCAACAAGTCTTTCTGGCGTCCTTGGTGCATATGATTTACATGCTTCAACTAGATAGGGAGTGTTGGATATAGTTAGATCTTTTTAATTGAGGTAATTCTATAAAAGGAACTTAGAGTTAGAGGCAAGTTATGTGTAGAAATAACTACTTTAGAAATATGTTCAGTATTAAAACCTTGAGTATGACAGTTATGTATTAGAATCTGTAGGATGAGGGTTATGTGATGAAAATAACTACTGGCAGTTAATTAGTAGGAGTATATATCTAATTGTGGCTTGTGTAATTAGGCAGTTTGAAGTTATTTGTAACTTGTATTGAAGGAAGAGAATACTCCAAGTTGGAGCCTTTCGTTTCTTGGACAGCAATTGCATTGCTGTATTTGGATGTGACAGGAGACTCTTGTCTCTTGCACACAAAATGTATTACTTTCAAAGTGAATCACAAAAGCAACAATTTCACTCAAGTTTGTTTTAGAATGTCGTCATAAATTTGAAGTGGTGGGTAGGTATGAATAGCTGTCAACAAAGATAAACATAGTGAATATACATTCATTCTTGGTAACACTAAAATGAAAGAAGAACAGGAAACTGTAAGTTGTTCTTCACCTGCATTCCAGTCACAGACTTAAGAACTCCCCATATGATATGCTTCTTAACTCGTGAGATGAGTCTTTTCCAAGTCCCGGTAAACTCAACTCGATGAAATTGATCCATCAATAATTTCATATCACTCACAACAAATCTTGACCCCTCATATGTAACACACAGTTCCACCTGAAAGAAAGATCACATGATTTATAGGAAATTGGAATTATTTCAACAGTTGTGACGACTTCTGATAATAAGTGACTACTTCATCTAATGGTCCAAAGCTACTACCAACCTGGCTAATTTTGATGTTGTGAAATTCCATTATCTTTTGTGGTCTAGCTTTCTTCTCTTCTGGTGTCACAGCTACCTTCTTTTCTTCATCAGCTGCAGATTCTGCTACAGCCTCTTCCTTTGGTTTATCAGAAGATGATGACCTTTTCAACTCGGGGCTTAGACCAGTAGCAGGATTAGCTTTGGCATTTTGTGCTTTGGATGCCTGCAAGCATGTTACCAAGCATCTCACTTCTTAAAACATTATATACTAGGATGATGAGAATCTACATTCTTTCCTAACTTTTCTACCAATGTAGCATGGCATTAGCCATCCCAGATTCTTTTATTATTAGACTAATTTTAGCTAGTAACAAACCATTTCTTGATACTCTCTTCCCATTACTTTCTCCACTATTGGGTGAAATCCTATGCTGGATCCTCCATATAACATGATTTCACAAGAAGATAGTGTTTTTGATTAATGTGTTGCTAGAATTTATCTTAATATGGAGAACCATACTAGAGAATAAACTCACTTGGGCTGAGTCAGCTTGGGAAGCAAGTGGATTGACTGTGGGAAACAGCATTGCAGAGAAGCCAGATCTTGCTGGTGGATCAGTGCCTGAAGCCGAACCATCAGCTGTTGAACCTTTTTTCATACGCCTTGCACCAGCTGTGGTTGAAACCTTCCAAACCTCCTATATAAGCAATCATGACTTTGACTTAGAACACAAAATATCCATGAATATCTTCATTGTTGTGGAAACATTGCAATTGAATTAATTAATAAACCTGTCGGCGTTGTGAATCCTTCTTTTCTTCTGGGAAGAAATAGACCCACATCATTCTGTACATTGTTTCTGTCAAATGGATCTTAAGGGGATAAATCTCTACCTATAGAGTAAAATGTGCTCATGTTAGGAAACAAAAAACACAAGTATTACTGCACACATTTTCTACTCAAACAGATTCCCAGTTCTCCATACACAATGGTTTATCTGTTATCATTGTAATATCATAACTGAGTTTGTATTACTGTACAACAACAGGTATGGAACCACTTACATGGAAAAGTTCAAAAGGAGAATTTCCATCCTTTGGAGCTCCCTGTCTCGCATCAAGTTTAACCATCACTTTTCTGGAAAAAAGAAAAAAACAAGCAAACATGCAATATCAAGGTACCCAGAAGATATAGAAAACACACTAATCTTTATTGCTATAGAAAAGGTAACACCAGTCTTATGATAAAATAAGTTATTAAGAGGCTCCTTTTTTTTCTTCCCATTCCATCTACATAATTAATTTCAACAATACAAGCAAATATTTTAATTTTACTTTCTGTATGCCTTTTCAGTTAAATAGGGCTGAAATGATGCAGTTGAACTTGAACTTAAAAGTAATCATAATTTAACTAGAAATTAAGACATTTCATGGAACAGCAAAGCAAAAAATATCAGAAAATCTACTTGGAAGCACCAGTAAATTGAAGAAAAAGGCCTGAAAAAAAAATACATACTTTCCCCAATCGGGAGGGGGATTCCATGCTGACAGAATTGTATCAGATTTGGCATTAGACAGGCAGTTTCTGAAAACAACAAATTTTGTGGTAAACAGAGAAATGCCGATATCCCTATAATCCCGGTCGAAGTCGTAGATCTAAGAGATTAGAAGAAAGAAACTGAATTAGTATATTATTGCAAATCGAAAGAAAGAGAATCATGATATTCTCAGGTTCATAGGATCAAGGACAAAAAAGAACTACTGAATTAGAAAAGATCATTGCAGTTTTTTCCATAACATGCAGGGATGATAAATTTGCAGATTCAATATTGTGATGACCGAAGAGCACTATAATAGATGTATCAATACATTCTCTACAAAGTCAATGGAGCAAATTTGAGCCTCAAAGTACAAAATTTTTAGAATCTATCTAATATATTTGAAGTCAAACTCAGTGTTGATATTATCACACGCTGAGACAGCAAAGTTCATACTTCATGAGAAACAATTTTTCAGGGGATTTCAGGGGATTCAATGAGCCTTGGAAGGATAAACACAGGGAGCAAAAGAGTTCTTACCATGTCATTGATCTCGACTTCAGCAATGGGTTTACCATCAAGGATCATGCTCCAAACAACTTTGTTAATTTGCATAGATATGCGCATTGCATATGAAGGACTTTTGTTCTTCTCCTTCTCCATTAACCTCTGTTGTGCAGCTTTATGCATAGCCACTCTTAATGATGCATATGCTTCCTTCCTAAATTTTTTCGCATTTACAAGTTCTTTCTCCAGTTCTTGGACCTGCCAGTGTTGGACAACGTTTATTACACATGCAAATTTGTGGATTTTTAACTAGCCCTGCGATTTAAGGATTGTTGAAAAGATTCATTTCTTACCAGCTTGTCTATTCCACCGTCTATCATCCACAAGTCTGCTTCCTCTTCTGGGTGTGAATTTCTTGAAAGGTCATGCCAAAGACACAATTTTCTTATATCATCACGAATCAAATTTTGACCCCTCTCTTTCCTTTCAAGGTTGATCTTTTCAAGTTCCACCTCTTCAACACCATCTGGTACCATCTCATCTGCTTCTTCTTCTTTATCTTCATCATCTTCAGCAAAAAGAGTCATGCTACTTTTTCGAGGCCTAAGTTGTACATGATATATACTTGGTTAATTTAAAGGGCTCTTAATATAGAGCAGAACATCTTGGATTTAAATTTCTTTAAGGCAAAAAATAGACTGCATCATTGTACGAATCATGTAATTTGATTGCCTGGATTATAGACATGGATGAGAAACATATCTTCCTGAAAAGTAATTTAAGAGTTAACTAATTTTCATTAGAAAACTACTGCAACATCAATGAACATCAGCTGTCATGTTTTATCTTAAAAACTAATAACTGAAGTTGCCCCACATGCCTGCCGGAATAGACGAATTTATAAGAACATATGATTATTATAAGCTTTGGTACCATTATAGATTTGAACTTAAAACCAATTGGCATCAAGGGATGTGAAACTTTCCAAAACAAACACCGTTTCAGGTCATTATCCACAGAAAACAAGTAACCCAGAAGTTGAAAATATAAAGGGAATGCTGAGTATGTGATTTGAGCATGCCAGATAGCAAAACCAACAAAAAAACCCAGCTTGATCCATCCATAACAGCTTATTAATCTAACACCTGAATCCCCAAATGGAAATTACAGTGATCCTACCAGTGTAGTCATTATATACGGAATGACCAAATTTACTAGACACTGATACACTTATAGGATACTATGAGGTGTAAGCATACAAGAACATCTGACGTAGGTAAAAACAGAAAAAAGTAGATTTGTAAGGAGTATAAAGCAAGAATGGGTATCCATACTTGGGAACCCGTGCAAGGAGAAGATTGCACAGCACATCTAGCATGACCTGAAACTGGCGAGAAGTCATTGTTGCTGTTATATTATGAGAATTGAAGGTGAGCTCCTTCAGCGGTTTCACCTGCAGTATTCAAGTATGAATTTGACAAAGATTACTGATCACCATAGACATGACAAAAGACAACAAACTGGTGAAAAACACTCCATACATATATTCGTTTACTACGAAAACGAAAATTCAGATACAGAGATGATCACTAGTTAGTATAAATTTTTATTTATAAAAGGTGATTTAATTAAGAAAGGAGATATCAATAGATAGGAGAATAAAATGTCAACAAAAATAAATAGAAGCAGAAACACAGTAATTAAGTATAACAGTGCACATGATAAACCAAACTCTACATAAATATGAAGTGAAAAAACCACGAACCTAGCACCAAAGAGAATCCAAAACTATTGTTTGTTAAAGTGTTAGTATTGGAATTCCCACTTGGACTAACAATAAGGCCAATTGAGAATATATAAGTGAGTACAAACCTTATCTTACAAGTCAATTTTGTAAAGTTAAATTAGACTTAAAGTCCATTTCTTAACATGGTATCAGAGCGTATTCTAGCAAGATTTATTGTTTGTTTAGCCTATTGTGCCACCCACTATCGAGGTATTTGTTGTTTGTTGGGTATATTGTTCCACTCACTATCGGGCCGCTATCGGACCACACATTAATGTCTAGTTCAACGCATGAGATATATATACATTGGCGTGAGAGGGTGTGTTGGAATTCCCACATCAACTAGTGATAAGGCTAGTTTAAATATATAAGTAGATGCAAATCTAACCATACAAGTCAGTTTTGTGAAGTTGAATTAGGATTAAAGTTCACTTCTTAACAGTGTTAAAGTGTCAGCTACAGAGGAGATTAAATAATAGTAAATATAGAATAAATTGTTAGGGAATAGAGATGAGATATAGAAATGAAGAAGAAACCCCATGTAAGACTTGATTGACACACCAAAATAAACATACTTCCTAGTGGAGTGTGGACGTAGACATACACATTGTGTGTTGAACCATGTTAAAGTCTTATGTTGCTTATTTCTCTTTTTCTTTTATTGTCTTGTTCCTAGCAGTTCACAATATATAAGTGGTGCAAACCTCATCTATTAACAACAACAGGTGTCAATTTACAATATATAAGTTGTGCAAACCTCATCTTTATGTGTGTGAGACTAACATGTGTCAATTCACAATATATAAGTGGTGCAAACCTCATCTTTTAATAACAACAATCATCCAAGATATATGTGTATGAGACTAATAGATACTCAATAATTGAGTCTAATCCAATTCTACTTGCATAGCTTATGAGGTTATGTAAATGATATCCTTTGGAATATCTATCATACCCAAAAATAATGCAAATTTCTGTCTTGTGGAAACTTATCCCAACATTTTAGTGTTTTGCATCTTCCATACTTTCTTTTATTTTGAGAGATTGTCGATCCTTAGTGGCATGTGGAACATTCACTAGTTTATGTAACAATTATCTTGGAGAAATCCTTGTTTTCTTATATAGGGGTGGTTTTTTATTCAAATCTCTAAGAAAGGCATATTAGGATTTTTCTACCACACGTTGATCACCTTTTGTTACGTTTCTTGCAGATTTATAATTCAGTTTAAGAAATTAACACACAAATCACAAGGCACAATGTAAATAACACTCTAATTCTGAAAAACATAATACAAGAAAACATCCAACAGCTTCCCAGGGAAGAAATTCCCTTTTACACAGGACAAGCCCTGTTCTGAAACAAAATACAGTCCACCACCACAACTAGAACACCCCCCTCCTCAAAAGACAAAAACTTACTAATTACTAATTAAATCTTCCCCTAACTGTTGTTTAAACTCCTCCTAACTACCCCTAACCACTTCAAACTATCTAAAAACTGTCTACAAACTATCTAAAAACTGTCTACAAACTGTCTAATATGTTACATATCCTATTATTACTCATCGCTGCAAAACAACCTTGTCCTCAAGATTGTAATCTAAAAACTAGTCCTTAATCGTTGCGGACAACTTCCCATGCGACTGCCTCAAGGCTTCCTTTCAGTCGTTGGATTAATCCTTGAATCTTTGAAGATCTAACTTTGACAACATAATCTTTTGTAAAAAGATGCTTAATAAACAATCTAACTCAGCTTCCAAAATCAACAAGTTTATTACTGGAGTTTGCTAGCAATCGATTTCCTTAACAGATAAGTAACCAAAGACAAAAGGGAGATCGTCCAACTTTCTTGTCCTTCTTGCATAGGGCTTGCCACTTTGTCAAGAAATACTCCCCTAACTGGTTTTTTTATGTTGGGTTTACTAGAGACACCAATATCTTGAATTCTTGGATGACTTTTTCCCCCCTCCCTGTCCTTGTTACTACTGCCATCATCTCACATAAAATTTCCACACTCCCAATCCGTGTTACTGCTTCCAAACTCTCAAATAACATGTTTCCCTTGTTCCCTTCAAGTATCCTTAGTTGAGGTTTTGCAAGATCTTCCGAAGAAAGGTTATGAGATTTCTGTTGCCAGGTCTTGAACCCCTTGATTGCATTTTTTCCCATGTTATTGATGGTTAGGTGTACTTCTGCTGTTCTTGTGATGTTCTGGACTTCAAAAACATTTTCTGTCCCAACACCAACTACCTTTGAACTATCTACACTCAAAACAGCCCCATCTTTTACTTTACTCCCATAATTAATGGTTACAATATTCCCACTACATTCGACCTTCTTTCCTCTGTCTTCACTCTCCTTCACTGTTTCGACATATTCACCAAGACCTACCACACTATCTCCACTAAAACCAGCAACAACTTTTGCAACTTCATTCTGAGAAGCAAGAGTCACAACATTCCCATCACAGTCTTGGTCTCCACCTTCCTCTTCACTGATATCCTTTTCTCTTTTCTTCTCCCAATTGATGGAATTGTCTCCTCCATTTGAGGGTTTCTTGGCTTTCTTGATGTCATGAAGAAGTTCCTCTCTCCCTCCCTTTCTTGCTCTGTCAACAGATTCTCCCTTCCTTTAGAGTCCTTTTTCTGAATCAGGACATCCAGAATCCTATTACATTCGTGCATCATTTCTTCCAATTTTTGGAAACTTTTTCTCATCTCTTGACACCATACCCTCACCTTTTCCAGTTCATTGGTCTCCCTCTCCAAAGTATTGAATTTCATGCTTTCCTTCGTTCTTAATCCGGCGGGTCGGACCAATTTGTTACATTTATTGGAGACAAGAAACTAGATTTATAATTCAGTTTAAGGAATTAACACACAAATCTTACTGCACAATGTAAATAACACTCTAATTCTGAAAAACATAATACAAGAAAACATCCAACAACTTCCAAGGGAAGAAATTCTCTTCTACACAGGACAAGCCCTGTTCTGAAACAAAATAGACTCCACCACCAGAACTAGAACACCCCCCTCCTTAAAAGACAAAAACTGACTAACTACTAATTAAATCTTCCCCTAATTGCTGTTTAAACTCCCCCTAACTACCCCTAACCACTTCAAACTATCTAAAAATTCTTTATAAACTATTTAAAAACTGTCTAATATATTACATATCCTATCACCTTGTTCTTTACCATTCAACCTGATACATCTAACCACCTTTAAAAGCTGTTAGGGAACTCTTTGATGGAGTCATTAACCTTCATTCAGATAACTTCAAGCTTTCTTCTCAAATTTAGAGTTTGCATCCTTGTCGTAATGTAACTTTGAAACTCCAAGAATTGGTAGTTTCCAGAGTAACAACTTTGATGAAAATATCATGTAAAGTTGTTTGTATGATGACAAGTGTTTTTTCTTCTTTTTTCATTTGTTCATTGTGACTTTTGAGTTGTGCTACAATAGGGTTTTTGGTTAATGAAGTTTGGATACTATCGTTTTCCATTATATCCCACAAATTTTGAGCCCTCAAGTAAGTACTTACATTTGCAACTAAGGTATGAAATTTCTCATTAGAAAAAATGGGAGGTAAAGGTAACAAACTACCGGAGGTCCTTTTTGTTTGAGGTTTTTCTCTGGAGATTTCTGTGTGGTTTTCCTCACCAATTTTTCTACTTCTCTTCTCTCTTATTTTTTCTTTTACAGTCCCAAAGAATATTGAAACTCTTATACCATGTTAAAATGTTAGCTATTGAGGAGATTAAATTAGAGTAAATGCAGAATAAATTGTAAGGAAACAGATATAAGGTAACAATGAAGAAGAAAAATTTCATATATTATCATGAGAGAATACTTCAGTCACAAAAGAACTCTAACAGAAAAATGAATCCCAAAAGTTGCTTACTAAGTGCTCAAAATCTTCAATGGGTACAAGTGTTCTCCTTTCATTAAATGAATAATAGATTATGAAGAAACATAAGCATTGTATGATGACAAAAAACACGAGACAGAAGACTTGACAGACAGAAGCCTTGTCAGACTAAAAAAATATTCTGAAGTTCTAAGATTTTCTCTCTCCATAAAATAGATAAATAAATAGAACAACCTAAGAAAAAAAAACCTAGCATTCCTTTCCAATCAGATGTACCACATAATAGAGAAAACAGCACATTTCATGACCTCTTCGATTTTAACAAACCCTTGAAATCTTATTGTCAAAAATATATAAAAGGATTTAGCACCAAACCAATATTCCCAAAAGAGTATGCAAGAAATTAGCAGTATAAACAATGAGAAAACAGATATATAATTCATGCAAAGTTCTCAACGTACATACATAAACATTATGAAGATGGCTATTTCTATTATCCAAATCTGCTGCAAATCATTCAGCACAACAGTTCATATAAAAGATATCATCTGACAAGGATCTTTGAATTTTACAATGATACAAAAAAGTTACCTTCAGATCTGGAGTGCCTCCTTTGTGCCTTGTGAACTGAAAATACATATCACAAGGCATGAAAACTCTCTCAAGAAGAGCACCTGTACGCATTACTTTTGGTGACCCTCTTTGAATTTTTGGCAACCAATGCACTCCAGCCCCTAGATCAACATCTGTTGGTGCAACATGGGCCTGCACATGCTCCAACATGACAGATAACTCCCATCTTTTCCATGCAATTTCAGGCTGGTACTCACTATTTTGTCCCTCAGTTTTATTTAGTCCTTGCTCAATCATCTCTAAACCAACTTGAAGAACCGAGTGATATGACTGGGCTAAAATTCGTCCACTTACAGCAGCAAGCAAAAACCTTCCCTGTGAAAGCATGAGTACACACATAATCTTGGCACTGTTTTGAAAATTTGTAAACTAAGGAGAACTAACACATGAAAAATAAAAGACATAATATAGCAATTGGACGTGATCTACATTAAGAGAATGAAGAAAGATAAGATGGATTAAGGGTGACTGCAATGAAGACGTTTTTGAACAATTTTCAAGGAGAGATCTCTTACAACTATCTACAATTAGAGTTATTATTCTAGCTCACAATTGCCAATGGAATATATGAGTATTTCTCTTCATAGATAAACAACTAATTGTCCTAAACAAACTTACGGGAAACAGAAAACCAAAGCTGTCAGCTGTTTCTCAAAATAAGATCTGTTGATAAATTTGAACAAAAGGAAATTGTTTCAATCAAGGTACAAGTTACCATCTGAAAGGCATGCACAATTATCAAAATGCTTACTGTCTCTTCCCATAAGTTCTATTTAAAATGAAAAGGTTTATAACTTACATGTGCATCCTCTGAGTGAAGATTAAACTGTGGTTCAACAATATTAACCATGAAGTGACGAGTCCCCTCCTCTGGTTCATCAGCATTCTCATTTTTAGCTGGGAAATAGACAAAAAAGGGAAATAAAAGAGGGTAAACAAAGTTGTTAATACTCAGGAACAAATGGGGCTTAACAAAAAATTCGTCAAGGATCTCTGTTAAGCACTGATAGCACTGCTGTGACACAAGGCGTATTTAGCTATGTATTTGCTTTTCTTGTGTTATATTTAACTGCTTGCATACAAATTTTCTGAAGCATGTGACACATACTACTAGATGATGGCACGTTGTCCACATTATCCACTTGCGGTGGGGATGAAGGTAATTCAGGATTTTTGGCAGTCTGAGAAGAGGGAGAATCCAAGATGTTATTGGTGTTAAGGGACACAGAATCTTCATCTTGATTGGTTCCAGCTCCTTCATCTTGGCTGGTTTCAGCCACATTGTCTTGATGAGGTTCAGCTTCATCAACTTTACTGATTTCGCCATCATTATCTTGATGAACTTCAGTTCCATCATCTTGATGAACTTCAGCTCCATCATCTGGATGGACTTCAGTTCCTTCATCTTGAGCAGTTTCACCTGCACCATCTTGATCAGTTTCAGCAGCTTCTTGTTTTTTCTTCTCCTCACGTAACTTTCTCTGCACATACTGCCGAGAAGGAGAAGGCTTGGCAGGTGCGGCAGCTTTGGAAAGACTAGCAACCCAGAAACAAATAGCATTTCTGTTCTCAATATTCCACAGAAGCTTGAGACCATAGACAAACACACGCTGACAACTGTCTGCAATTACCACATTGTATCCTTCATCATCACTTGGATCTGATTGCGCTTGCTCGTCGGTTTCATTTCGATTTCCACGCTGTGGTCGTACATAGGTATTGTCAGAAGGTATTTTTCCTGCTTCATGCCAGGCTATCAAAGTATCAGGATCAGCCTTTGGGGACTGCTTTCTTATCGTGAAGTAATCACCAGATAAAAAGAATCCATCGTCAGGATCCTTCTGTGTCATGCAACCTTTTTCCGAGGGAGTTTTCTTGGATGCAGTTTGTGAGCCTTTTTGTTTCATGCTAATCAATTTAGTAATACTGCTGCAATCTTCTTTGCTAAGGAAAACTTTGGGCATGTGAAGATCAACACCTAGGTAAACAAGATCAAGAAGGGGACGGTAACATTCAAAAGTAAACTTTTGCTTGCCCCTCCCAAAACACACTTCAACCTTGAGCTTTGTCATAGAGAATGTCAGTCCTTTGGCTGGATCATCATCATGAAGATGCACGTTCTTTACACGAATTGGGGTGCCATCTATGCGCATCATAAACTCAGTTATAACTTTATCAAGTGCAAGGTTGCCTGATCTGACAATTCTTGGGCAACCGTAACGAGGGAAACGCGAGAAAAAGCGGAGTTTATGTGGGGGAAGATACATCAAGGTGCCAAATTTTGTCAGCCATGATAGATCATGAGAACCGAGGTTTATTGTTGGTGAAGCATTCTGAGAAGTGCGAGGAGGCTGATGAACATTAGCATCTCCTTCTGTACTATCTTTTGCAACAGATAATGATGAACTTTGTTTGTCTGATGGAGGAGGAAAGGATCTAAATGACATGCTAAATTTAATCGAAAGAGCAGTGGATCTGAAGGGGTCAAATAAGAACTCACGAGGCTTCCCTTCAATTGGAAGTGAAAACAAATAATGATTCAATGGCTTGTCAGACTCACAACCCCAATCCATTATAACTTCAAGTATAAAAACTGGAACTTCAAAGAATGGACCATAAACACCTGGTGGAATTTTGGCACCATTTTTGGTTGCCAAACTCTCCAAACTGGTCAAGTAAATGTTGAAATCTTCGGAAGAAAGAAAAATGCGACCATCTGACTGTTGAATTTCCATATAACGAGTCAAAAGTACAAGTTTATCGAACTTTTCATAAGGATCTGAACTTCCCAAAATATTCCAGTGTGTTTCAGAAAATAATAAGGTAATTCTTCCATGAATGTAGTTTCTCATGTCATCCCACCATGGCAAACTCTTCTCCTTTTTGGGTGGCAAAATTAGTGGCCCAGGAGTCTTAAGACTCAGATTAGCCCTCCGTAGCACCACGGTGAAAGCATAACTAATATCAGCAAAAACTGGTTCATAACCCACCCCAAATGACACTTCACCTTTCTGGAAACGTAACGTCAAATCTGTGTATGTCTTCATCGGCGGAGTAGTACCGGTGGCTGATCGAAGCATACTCACCTTTCTCCATTCCCCAACATAGACCTCTTGAACCATTTGAGGTTGAAAGCTAGTTGCCTACTTGAAATAAATAAAAGAAAAAATGGCCAAGAAAATGTTATCAGGTTAATCATATTTTGCAGGTTCTTAAGGATGACACTTGATCACAATAAGTAAGCATATAAAAACTACAATGTTGAAAAAAATATTAATTTTGCTTCGTGTTACCTGCTGAGCCATGACAAGACGACCTTCACATTTGCCAGAAGTTCCGGCAAAGAGAGGAAATGTGTAATCTCGAATTTGAGCCACAAGAGAACCAGTGTTCAAGAGAATGTTTGCTCCATACAGTCTGGAAAATGGTATCTCTAATTCACGACAAACAGGATCAAGCGTCCTCAGAATTTCAATCATCCCATCTTCTCCACCATCGATTTTTGTCAAGGTTACATCTAAGTCTGTTGCATATGCTGAAAGAACAAAAGATCTTGAAGTACTGAGCTTGAAACCAGATTGAAATTCATCATTTTTATAAGCACCTGATCCCTCATAGAACTTTATGTTTTGGCATGACTGGTAATATGATCGGAATGTTCGTCTATAAATGTCTTCTCGCATCGATTCAACAACTGAAGGATCGTTTAGATCAACTTCAATATCATTGATATAAATTTTTTTTTCTTCAGTACAATTACTGGTATCATCAGTAGAGTTTGGATCTTTCTTAACCTTGGATATAAAATCATCTAAGAAGTTTAACCTGACAGCTAATTCGCCAACCTCCTTCTTCAACAGTGGGTAGTGTTCATCAAGCCATCCCTGAAGCGGTTCCTCTTCAATATCAAAAGTTAACTTGCGAAGGAAAAACTTCACACATCCAAATTTCACTGAACTAGGCTTTTTAGCTTTAGAACTGTCTTTCTTCACCGGAAAAATCATGTTGGTCTTTGCAGCAACAATAAGTTTCAATGCACGCAACATGTCTTCTAGAGCATCATCAATAGCACGCAATTCTAATCTGAAAGGCATACAAATGTGAACATCAAGACCTTGAATCACCCAATCCCATATCGTAGCTCCCTTTGCATCAGATATAGCAGCATCAGATTTACTAGGAATTCGTGAAACCTGCATCCTGCTACTCTTGACGAGTCTGGCCCCATTAAAATAAAACAAGAGTCCTTCAAGGAGCACTCCTATACGAGCATTCTCAGAGAAAATTGACTTCACCTGAACCATAGCATCAACTCCATCTCCTAGCACACCAGATATCTTCAACATTTCTACATCAACAGCAAAAACAGAATCTTTCTTCTTTTCAGAATGCCCCGAAGGAAGAGGAACTTCATTTTTCTTATTAGAATCTTTTACATCAGACACTACATCTTCAACTTGTTCATTACCCCGCTCCCGAAGCTTGGAATTGTGTAATGCTAATTTTAGCTGCAAAACCAATTCAATCAGAGACAGATGTACATCAGGCTCCCACTTCAAACTAATCTCAGTGGCACTGAACAGAGAGCATGCAGCATTCTCTTTAAGGCCACCTAATCGCTGTACAAATTTAATATATCGTATGTCAAATAATGCCACCTTTGATACTGGCCTAGTTTCATCGTAATACTCCTGATAGATGCATCTGGCCTTCGCAAGTTCTACCTGTTTGGATCTTTTCTCCTTGTTCACACTCAACTTCAAATCTATGATTTGAAGAGAAATACAGTACTTTAGCTTCTGGTACTCATCGGAAACAGTGGATATTACAGTTGCAGTACGAGGGGTACCATCTGCGGACACACTTATTATAACTCTACCACCCTGTGAACCATAATTAACTCTCTTGGGGTCTGGAACAACTGCGTTTTCTATTCCAGTTTCCCCCAATACATACACTGAACACTTTTCAAGATTGAATTTCACCATTTGAGTTCCTTTCCCTGAACTTTTTGATGAATGTGACCGGGTAGTTGTGGATTTTTTCTTTGGACCAGAAAGGCTTTTAAATAGAACTTGAAAGGATATTGCAGTAGATATGAATGATTCTATACGCTCAAAACTTAGATAAATTGCCAGGCTTGTCACAACAACTGATAAACTTAGCACACACTTTGGAGCATCTTTTTCAGAGGATTTGATGTCCTTTTTGCCCCAATCCACACAAATCTTTGCAATGTGAAAAATGGAGGCAGAGTTTGATTCAGCACCAAAAATGCTTTTTTCCAAGCATTCTTGATTTTCATTAGCCATTTTGAGGCTTAATTCACAAAGTTCAGAATGCACTGCAGTTCCCATCTTCGAAGTGTTGTTTGCAGTTACATGTGTTGATTTTAAGCAAACCTGGATTTGGAAACAATAGATGAATGCTTGGTGTTAAATATGTCTTTACTCAAAAACATTTGAATTACATGTAAGATAACTTCCCCCAATAGAACTCAAAATGATCAAACAGGTGACGTAATGACTTGGACAAAAGAAATTTGAAGAGTCAAAGAAACAAAACAATCCATCCATTTGGTGAGCCTCCAACACAACACTCAATCAATATCCAACAATGATCCTTTGAACCTCAAATCTAATATCCAAGTAGGGGTTTCAAATTTGTCTCTCTTAGTAGTTTATTCTAATCAATATGATTTTAATCCGTTGTTAATTTTTGTTTTTATAAAAATTAATACTCTTTAGCTCCTACGTTTATCACATTGATATAAAATGAATTATCATATTGATAAATGTAGAGATGGAAAACGTACTAAACATGGTAGGAACTGAAATCAATATTTTGAAACATTTTAAAAGATAGAGATATATTTTTATCCTTTTTAGTTTGAATGGTCATTAGGTTGTTGTTTTCATTCACATGTTTTCATTAATAGTTTAAAAAAAAGTCACCTTGTTTTCACTTCATTTCCTGTTTTCAAGAATCTGCAAAGGAGAAAAGAAGTGAAAATAAGGCGACATTTTTGTAGTTGTTTATAGAAGTATATTCGAAAAGAAATATAAAGCTAAAAAAAACTAAATGCAACCTTTCAAGAGAAAAAAAAAATACAGAAATATGATCTTTCCAATATTAGACTCACAAGCTTGCAGATCAAATGATCTCCATATTTGGACCTAGTTTTTGATTTTGAGGATGTTTTGATATCAGTTTAACATAAGTAACTTCTGAACTTTTTTTTCTGTGATCTCAAATTCATAACATAAGAAAACTGATATGATTTTATCTTTGAGCTTATCCTTTCTTGACCCTAGTGTAGCACTTTCTCCTGCTTCATATATATATATATATATATATATATATATATATATATGCTTGCATGGACAAAATATAGTTTCAAACCGCAGATATTTCAGTAAGTTTGTAGTAATATTTTAGCTTCAATCAGTTACCAAAACTATCATTACAACAATATGGCTTGTTCAGGCTAAATATAAATATAAATATATAAATATAAATATATATATATATATATATACACACACACATAATTATAAACTTTTGGTATTACTTTCTTTTTCATGCGTGTTATTTTGGAAATATCATACTTATTTTCTGATTTCTAGAGGACTCAAATGAGACACGTGTAACTAGAAAAGTTTTTAATCATGAATCACCACATGCACAACATCAAATATAAAGAGTTATATATATATAAATGTGTGTGTGTGTGTGTTTGAGAATACTTACATTATATAGTGGAGAAGCAGCCATATTGAAAAGCATTATTGTAAACTCCGAAGTTGACAAATTACATGTCCATACGATGGTCTTACTGTCATCAGTAGATTTTGGCTTTGCAACAGAAGGTTCTTCTCGGATGACCAGTTTTTTCTGCTTACTAGGTGGCTTTAGGAGCAACCAAGGCTTTATTCTGCTCATTACGATGTTGCATTGTGAACGTCCAATCTTAATTTCTGTTTCAGCTCTAATAAGCATAACTGACTAGAGGAAAGAGACCAAAAGATGAAGTAAGTTTGCGCATAAAATACAAGAAAAATAGTTATAACTCAGTGTAATAGTTCATATCAACCCTTCTTCATTCATACTGCGAGATCATTTTTTTATATATAAACTTCTCAAGAAATTATATTATACAGGATTGTGTCTATCAATGAACAAACTCTCCTAAAAGTTTAAGTTGTTATGGGTATGCTAAATTTGTTCTATATCTCCAAAGAAAAAATTATGTGATTGGATGGAGAATTTATAATTTTGTAAAAGTAAAATATATTAAATTTAAATTGTTTTACTTATTTAGTCATAGTTGATTGGAATTATTGCTTGATTAACAATTTTTCAATTAATATCAATTCAGATTTTTCTAAGTTAGCATTTGTCAATATCAATGCTATTGGTGATTAATCACAAGTTTTCTTAATCAATATTTGAAAAGAAATCTTAAATAATAAACTTTGATTAGCATCGAATGAAAAATAATAATATTAACTTCGATAATAAAAAAAATCTTATTAACATCAATCAAAATGTAATTTTGTCAATGTTGGTAAGCAAACCCTAATCATCATTAGTTGAAAAATAATGTTAACCTACATCAGCCAAAAAAAAATATTAAGTTAAAAACAACCCTGATTGACATTTGAAAATAACTCCAACTGATGTTAACAGAAAATAAAAAAAAAAAAAAAGTTTGACATCGATCAAATAACACTATAAATAAATGCTAGCTACGAAAACACAAAATAATTTGAATTGAAAAATAACGTGGACTTTCATCAGAAAAAAATAACTCTGACAATGTTGGTAGAAAAGCAATCTCTATGTTAAATCCACAGGTCAAGTCAACGACGTCTCAAAGGACACTAATTAAGTAGATTGAGTTAAGTTCATATGTTGGAATACTAATTAGATTGTGTTCAATTCATACATTAAAGTTTTACAGAACCATAAATAAGGTTAATTAATCCACAGTATAATATATAGTATATATGTGATATAAATATTATCTTACAAGTCATACTTTTAAATTTATTCTATAACAAAATTTATTATTTGTTAAATTTATTGTTTTATTTATTATTCAATCAATTAAAAATCATAAATTAATTTTAGATTTCACATATCACTTTGAAAATATTGAAAAATAAATCAAATTGTTAGTAATAGATTTTTATTTATTATTATGTTTATTCTATATTTAAAGTTCGAATTTTCTTATATAATTGGCGAGGAATCAATAATTATCAATATAAATTAATTATTAGTTCATCCATAAAGATTGATAATTAATAATTTGAAACAAATAGTATAACATAAAGAATAAGAGTAATTATTTATATTAAGGAAAAAAGAATGCAATAATATATGAAGCAAGTGCAAGTATATGTGGTTGATAGATTAAAGATATGTGATTTTAACAATAAGATTTCTACTAAAATTTCTCCACATAAACTACATATTTTACCCTTTTATTTCTCTCCCAATATTAGGAAAACGTACGAAATACAAAAACACAAAAGTGTTTCCTATGTGGAAAACAAAAATAAGTTACCTGTACAGGGACATACACAAAAGAAGCCATTTTCACACTCGATATCTCTAAGATGGAAGAACCAACTTCTTTAAAAAGCTGTAATAAACAGAACAACAAGAAAAGTAGTTGATAAGAAGGAAAACAAGTATCATGAAATAAACAAACACACTCCATACATGAATTTCACCAAATTCGAGTTGAAAATGAAGACGTCTACTCTCCCCACCATCCTTTGACGGTCGTGATTTGATGCTTTTGAATTGGATGCCGATGATGTTATTTTCAACATAAAGATTACGTTCACGATGCGTAAAACTAACGTTCACCTTTGACAAATTGAAGTTTACCTAATAATGTAAAAACATAGTTAAACACTTGATATTATAATCATTTGAACAACTTTTCTTTTCATTACATCAAATAAAAATATAAAGAAAACTATTGTTATCTTAATAGGGCCTAGAATTCTACACTAAATTGGCTCACACACTCCAAAAACTAATTCAATAATTTTAACACAAAGTCACTCATTCATACGTTAACTAACTTTGCACCAGTATGAGATCATTAGAAGAAAAAAAGAAAAAACAAAAAGCATGGTTAATTGCATTACCGTTTGAGGAAACTTTGAAATATAGCCTGAAATTTTTTCCTGCTTGTTGGAAGGTGGCTTTTTGCTATTAGGATCATCGCTCGATCCTATATTTTTCTGAGAGTCAGAAGAAGATTCTGATGAACTCTTTTTTTTCTCAAGCAACCCCTCATTCGAATTCACACTGATATCTCCAATGGAAATCTCTACACTCTTTATAGCTATACCTATTTCCCTAAATCCATAACAAGAAGAGATCAAAATTATGATACGAAATGAAAGAGATTATCCAAGTCAATGCTAATTTTTACTTCAATATATCAGGACATATAATAAATTGCAATGGAAAAATCAAATGTAATTATAAGACACCTTTATATGTAAAACAATGTAACACACGAACAACTACAAATATAAAAACTCCTATTGTCTTCAACCATAAGCTTTTCATCTTACATACAAATTCATTTCCTTTTCTCAAACTCAAACGAGTGAAGTGCATGATTAATATTTAAAAAAAAATATGCAAGGAAATCAGTACCTATCATGGCCAAATGTACAAGAGACAGAGAATTTTTCACAGACAAAAGTAGCAGAAGTCTTTTCAGTAGAAGCAACAGTTGCTTGGACAGAAGTATTGCTTCCTCCACCACTAGAATCCGATAATTGATTACTATCTTGAGGCTCAATAACGTTAAAGACAATGGGTAGTATTTGAACCCTAACTACCAAATCTGACTCGCTTCCAGCCTCTTTAGATATGTCCACATTCAACTTCCCAATTTCAACACTAAATTTAGGTGTCTGCAATGTTCACAAACACATTCACAATGTCCAAAACAATATTTTCAAATAACATGGAAATACTAAAATTAATGTATGTTTGATCGAAGAAGAAAAATAAAACAATAGAAAGATGCATACCTTCAAAGCTATATTTGTGACAGAAAGTGAGAAATATTTTGCAATGGTGCTTATAGTCTTCCACTTTCCCTTTCCTTTTCCCTTTCCAGAAGAAGCACCGCTGGATTTTTTAGGTTTCTTCTTTTTTACCTCAGTGCTTTTAATTGGAGGTCGTGTAACAACTTCTAAGTTGCATATTATTAGTTGCAACTTTGGGTCCCAAGAACTAAAACCCGCACCATGATCAACCAAACAACGACGGAAACTAAGTTTAATTTCACCAACATATATAGATTCAACACCACCCTGCACATGTCATTAATTCAAACAATGCATTTATATGAACTCGGATTTTCAAAATGGGTTGTATACACAAAAATACTGTATTATTTTTTATCACTTGCATAAGTAAAACTCAATGAATAATGAGTGAATTTTATTATTTCAAGCAATATTGGCTGATAATAACTATGTCCTGTAAATTTTGTAACTAGAAAATATGAACTATGAAAGTGAAGAAAAGTAAAGAAGAACCTTCTTAAACTTCAATTCCACGTCTTTTAAACTGTTAAATCCACTAACGCAAAATCCAACGGATGCACCAAGTACCCGACTCAAAATCCAAGACAATAATGCAAAAGATGATCTGATATAAAACTTGTAATCAGAAGCACGTAATAAAAAAGGTTAAAAGCACAAAATATTTCTAAAACATTAACTATAATGAACAAAAAGTCAATGCAACATAACATTCAACTTGAAAACACAAACCACAATATGTTTTTCTACGTTAATGAGCAATAACATGATTTCATCATTAACATACAAGTAACTTTTTCTTTACACAAGTAAAACCAACAATGCAAATAACATATGATGATAAAAAAACATTGCATATAACATAAATTACAAATACGTTCAATAGTTTAATATAAAAATATCAATCCATAACAATAACAATTTTTCATCTTACATGTAGTTCCCCACAACTTCTCTTGCATGGTAATAGCAAAGGAGTTTACCAATATACTAATAAAATATATTTCTAAACTAAATCTGAAAAAAAAAAGCATTTTAATGACAATTGTCTTAAATAAAAAATTTGGAAATATAATATATATATATATATATAGATTAATTCTAATTTGCTTTAATTAAGGAATTAAGAGGAAATAAAGTTTATATTACAATAAATTTTGTACTAATGGAAATTAAAAATAAAATTGTACTAAAATAAAATAAAATAAAAATAAATTTTGGATCCTCGTGGTATTTGAGTTTTTCCTTGTAAGTATTGAATAAAAATTTTCTAACTAATAAATGAAATACTTCTAAAAAAATCCTTATCATGATATGTGTTTATTATCTTTGAAAATTGTTCAAATGGCAATATGCAACAGAATTGTATGCAGTGCTTCCCCACTAGCATTCTCACAATATTCAGCATAAACCAATGGAAGCTTAAAATCAAGCAGTGAACTCTCTTGACCACAACCACATCCATCGCGACGAGGATATTGAAACACTAGTAATCAATCATGTTCACCCTCTTGGGTCATGCGGGATAGAAAGGTTGAACTCTTAGTAACAAATTATTAAAAGTTTCACATCGATTACCTCAATTTATAATATATAAATAGATATAAACTTTATTTTATAAATTAATTTTATAAGATTAAATTAAATTTATGTATTTCTTGATACTAAAATCACAAAGAATATTATATCTAATTCTATGCATTTAAATTCGTAAGTAAATTAGTTATTATATACAGATTTTATCTATATATGAAAAACTAAATTCCATATAAGTACGTGTTTTTTTAGAGTATGTAACTATAAATATACACAAATTCACAAAGTAACAACAAAGGAGATTAACTTAAACATTAAACTATGAAAGACAATCAAGATGCAAGTAAATTTGTTGGGTGATGTTTGTTAATTTGAAGACTCAGAACAAAGACATTTTTTTAAAAGTTAAATATGTTTTTATTATTTAACTTGTAAAAGTTAAAATTAGTTCAGGTTCAAAACATTAAATTAATTTAGTCCTTGATTTTTAAAACTATTTTAATTTAGTCATTTTAACAAAATTTTATTAAGTTTTATTTCATGTTATGAAACACATTTGAAATGTTAAATAAATTTAACAAAATTTAATTAAAATGATTAAAATTCACATATAGTTTTATAAAGATAGAAGATTAAATTACTCCAAGATTTTAAATAGAGACTCATTCTAGTTTTTCCATACCAAAAACTATTAATATTTTTCTTAATGAAGGCAATAAGGTAATACATTATCTATTTAAAATTACAAATACAATATGTGGAGATTGATTAAGCTAACAAATTCATTAATATTTTATATGGTTTTGGTAAGCCACCCATCTCACTGACTAATGGCACTCTACATATAACCATCGTTTTTTAGGTACCTCCACAACCTTCTCTAGTTAGTTGCAACCATGACCAAACCTTCCACCATTCATATTGATGTCAACCTAAAATGCTTAACAAGTATTCAAAATTCAATCTCACCCACAAATATTTGTCTACACATTCTAATAAAAAAATTACATAAAAGACAATAATAATTGAAAGGCATGATTGAATATAACAAAAGTAAGTAGGAGAATGACATTTAGGAAGAAAATAGAGAATGATTGAAGGCTTACATGAATAGAACCAACAAGGTGACACAAAATATAGTGAATCCATGGAGGAAATTGATCGGAGAAATTTCCATTTTCACTCAAAATGCCATACGATGAAAGAAAGATGTTTCTTCAATGATGTAGTAGCATGGCGTAGTGTACCGAAGAAAGCATCGTGAAATGAAAAGAACTCATAAATTAATTTTTGCTTAAAAAAAGTGTAAAATGAAAACACATCCTTTAAAAGCATGTAGTGAGTGTTTTAGAATTAAGATCCGCTCCGTGAGGTACTCGATGATCAAAGGCGCCACTAATGTATTGCTAATTTATTATTTTAAAAATACTAAAATAAACAAAGAAAATATTCAATCAACTGGGTTGCCTCCCACGGTAGCACTTGTTTAACGTCCAAACTTATGACCCCAAAATATGATTCACAAACGTTTTTTCATCGGCAAGTATTGACCGAATCGTTCAAGGTAACTAAACTTGGTACGACCAAGTATCGTTCTTCCAAAGGACTCACGACCTAGTTTAGTTTGTGTGGTTTATTGATTAGCTAGACTTAAAGACGAAATATTTGGATTTTATATGCAAGACGAAAATTAAATATGTATGCATGAGTTTTGATCAATGGCAAAGCAAAGAATAACACTTTCCATGAAATATAATGAATGTTGTTGGGGGTCAATTTCATCTTATCCACTCTCATATATTTTAGGAATTCAACATTCAAATCATCATTGTTAATGCCACTCTCTAAAGAACCTTTCAAGAAGGCTTCTCCCTAATCACGAGTTCATACAATTCCTAGCATTCCTAATGATCAGTTCATAAGTGCAGGAGCTTAACGACAACCAATAATAATATTGGGAGAAATTTCCCCGGATACTGCTCCCGTACGTGCCCGTATCGACAAAACCAATATCATGCACCGAATGAGTTAAACAATGCAAGCATTAAGCAAAAGGAACCCTAACTAATATGAAGAAAGCATAAGTCTTAATTAAAAGATGTACAAATTCCATATATGAGAGCTTCAAAAGATTACATTGATTCCCCAAAACATACAGAGTTTAGTTCACCATATTCATGGTGAACCTAGATGAATAACATGAAAGAATGAAAGATAAAATCCTAGAAAGGTGAAGAGGAAGCCTGAGCATCCAAGATCCTCCTTCAAAGGGGTGAAGAGAGAGTTTTTCTTCGTTTCTGCCAAGGATCCCTAACCCTAGAAACCCTAAAGCTTATATATTATTCGTAATTACAGAAAATTAGGTCCAAGCCCATAAAAGTGCCGCTCAGCGGTAAAGTACCGCTCAGCGGTAGTGTGAGTAGTTTTCTCCCCTCAGCGGCCATTTTGCCCCTCAACGGACCCTCCGTGACTTCTTGGTGCCCGCTCAGCGTAAACTGCCTCTAGCTGACTTCGGCTTCTACTTTTGCACTTTTTGATGTCTTTTCTGATTCTCTCTCTCCTTCTCACTTCTTTCACTAAATTCACCTTAAAACCTGCACAAAAACACTGAAATCAAGTAAACCTGTCCACTCTCTTATTTCTGAAAATATGAAGAAAAGCTTGATTTCAAGCTAGTTTCTAAGTGTTAAAGGTGCTTTTAGTATCATTTAAGCATGAAAATACAGTTTTTTCAACTATTATTAGTGCTCCCATATATGCCCCTCACGTTCCCTGTAATTCAAGTGTTTAAAATGCTTATGCAAACCCTAACTAATAAACAAACAGAAATATTCAATCAACTGGGTTGCCTCCCAGGGTAGCGCTTGTTTAACGTCACGAGCCTGACCCAAAATCCACCAAACCATTGTAGGTTACAAACTGAGTATCCTTCAGTAGATACTTAACCACCTAGCATCCTTCAGTAGATGCTATATCCACAAAATATTTACAAAAATATGTTCCACAGATTAAAAGTTACAAAGCCAAATAAAATCAAAAGTTCTTAAATCATTGGGTTGGCCTCCCAGCAAGCGCTCTTTTAACTTCATTAGCTTGACCCAAGCTCAAGTTTCCTTCTTCTTTTTCTTCTTTCTACTGAACTTCTTCAGAAATTTGATCAACCAGGAAACCTGTTGCAATGTCTCAATCATAGAACTTTAATCTCCAATTTCTTGAAGATTTCCATAAATGCACTTGAATTTCTTTCCTTCTGTGATTCTTCTTTAGATGAGGATGTGATTTTTCATATGATTTCTTCTTCTTTCCTCTCATCTTCTTTTCTTCCTTTTCTCTCCCTAAATTTTCTCTTTTTCGTTCTTTTGATTTTTTTTCTTCCCTTTCTTTTTCTTTTCTTCTCAACTCTTATTTTCACACAAAATTTTCTCTTCTTCTTTCTCTTCTCTCTTTTCTCTCTTCTCTCTCTTCTTTTTCCAACTCAACTTTTTTCAACATTACACTCACAGCACTTCCATTCTTCCTGGGGTTAACCTCAGTATTAGCGCCAAAATTTTTCAGGCCTTTCTTCCAATTGCTTGGTAATCCGACCCATTTGAATCTCCAAGTTCTAATAGCAGTTCAGTGCTCTTTTGAGAAGATTCAGTTTTCGTATGAATGCTGAAGAGTTTTCTTGCCCCTTGTGATCTTTCATTAAGTATAGACATTGTTGCCATAAGGTTGGTTGTTGCTGTGTTGCTTATAAATGACCCTGATTGTCCAGCTTGCCCACTTTGTCCTTGACCAATACTTGGGTTATGGTTTTCCCACCCTTGATTGTAGCTCCCTTGACGTACTGATTGGTCAGTGAGTTTACATCCTTACGGCTTCAACTGGAAAGGCACATTGACCATTGATATGGTCACCTCCACACAATTCGCATAATGGGGTTGTTCCTGTGCAACAGTCTTAACTCTTGTGGCAATGTTCAAGTATCTTTTAGATTACCATTGTTGAGTTATTAACTTGTTTGACTATCCAAGGCATCATGGATTGCAATTGTAGAACTCCTTTTTGTTGAATATGAGCTCCTCTTTCACTGTCCACTTATTTTTATTAGTAGTCATGTTTCAATATTCTGTGCTTCCCTCTGGAGTTTTCCATTTAATATTGCTCCTGCTGAGGCGTCCAGCATCATCTTGGTTTGTGAACCAAGCCCTCCAAGGAAAGTTAAGACTACTTCCTGTTCTTCAAAGCCATGCGTGGGGTGGTTTTTCTTAGCAGACTTTTGTATCTATCCCATGCTGCCCCAGTGATTCTTCCATGCCCTGCTAAATGAAGATATCATCTTGCTTGCCTTTTGTCACCTTTGATTGTGGAAAGTACTTGTTTAAAAACTTTGTTACCACTGCTTCCCACTCTTGAAACTTCCTTCTGGGAAAGAATTCAACCAAACTTAGCATTGCCTCCCAATGATAAGGAAACAAGCTAAGTTTGATAGCTTCGTCTGGCACCCCATATAATCTTGATTGTGTTGCAAATCTCATTGAAGGTATGAGGTGCTCATAGGCTTTCATGAGATAACCCATTAAATTGGTTGCTTTTCACCAGTTGGATCAGTGCTGGTTTGACCTCCATGTTAGCTGCATTGACTCTAGGTCTAGCTATACTGTTAAGTGCTGAGGTCCAGCTATATTGTGTAGTCAGCAAGAGTTCTTCTGATATTATGTTCTCCCATATTTTCTGTGCTATGAACAGAACCTTGTGTTGATGGTTTAACAAGTTTCCGGAGGAGGGGATTGTTTTCTAGATGTTCGGATTCTTCTCCTCCGTCTACTCTCGTCTAGACCTCAAGAAGAGGTTCTATTGTTTCTTGCTCCTTGTTCTAATGCTTCCCTGCATGCACAAGAAACAAAACCCTAGAATATTTGGTTAGCACAAAAAGATATAGGAGAAGATAAAAACAGAAAACAGAAAAATACAAATAAAAACAAAAATAAAATAATCAAAAAAACCGAAATAAAAAAACAGAAAATAAAAACAGAAATTCAAAATTAAGTCAAAGATAATCATAATCACACAATTACCAGTTAAACCACGAGTTCCCCAGCAACGGCGCCAAAACTTGATGGACAATTTTATGATCACCAATATATGTCACAACTTGTTTTTCAATCGGCAGTATGACCGAATCGTTCAAGTAATAAACTTGGTAAGACCAAGTATCGTTCTTCCCAAAGGACTCACGCCTAGTTTAGTTTGTGGGTTTATTATGATTAGCTAGACTTAAAGACGAAATATTTGGATTTTTATGCCAAAAGACGAAAATTAAATATGTATGCATGAAGTTTTGATCAATGACAAAGCAAAAGATAACACACTTTCAATGAAATATATGTATGAATATTTGTTGGGGGTCAATTTCATCTTATCACTCTCATATATTTTAGGAATTCAACATTCAATCATCATTGTTAATGTCACTCTCTAAAGTACCTTTCAAGAAGGCTTCTCCCTAATTACGAGTAACAGTCCCTACCAATTCCTATATAGTTCATAAGTGCAGGAGCTTAACGACAACCAATATAATTGGGAGAAATTCCCCGGATCTAGACTTCCCCGTACGTGCCCGTTCTACAAAACCATAATCATGATCGAATGAGTTAAACAACGCAAGCATAAGCAAAGAGGAAAACCCTAACTAATGATGAAAGAAAGCATAGGTCTTAAATAAAAGATGTAAAAACAAATATATGAGAGCTTCAAAGATTACATTGATTCCCAACAAACATACAGAGTTTAGTTCACCATATTCATGGTGACCTAGATGAATAACAATAAAGAATGAAAGATAAACCCTAGAAAGGTGAAGGAAGCCTGAGCTCCAAGATCCTCCTTCAAGGGGTGGAAGAGAGAGTGTTTGCTTCGTTCCAGCCAAAGACACCTAACCCTAGGAAACCCTAAAGCTTATATATTATTTGTAAATTATAAAATTAGGTCTCAAGCCCATTAAAAGTGCCGCTCAGCGGTAAAGTAAACCGCTCAGCGGTAAGTGCGTGGTCGTTTCTTCCCCCAGCGGCCTTTTGCCCCTCAACGGACCTCCCGTGACTTCCTGAGTGGCCGCTCAGCGGTAAACTGCCGCGGAGCGGTGACTTCGGCTTCTCCTTTTGCACTTTTTGATGTCTTTTCTGATTCCATCTCTCT